AATTTATTTAGTGAGCACCTTTAGATTTATATAACGATACTTGACGACAATTCAAATCCACACCTGTACAGCACTGAGAGAATGTAGAATGAGAATAAATTACACCTAATTCCGAGCGAAATCGGCGAAATGAAATTGAAATAGAAATTGGTTGGTGTAACGGCGTAATAGCACTGGATGTGATCCGAGTTGGTTTCTTACACATCTAAAGCAATTAATGCTCTCACTGCCACAACGTAAGTATCTACGACTCCATTTCTTACCTTCATTTCTATAGTCAAAAGAAAGATAAGTTAAAAAAATAAAATATTTTTAAACAATCCTTTACTGGATGTTTTGGGATAAAAATTAACGCTACTTAAGTTCACAATCCAACTTTATTTTACACAAAAAAAAATAAAAAAATAATTCTATTACAAAATTCACACTTCAACTTTACTATTTCACATCACTAATAACATTTCACAACACTATTAGATTTTTACCGCTCGAGTTATCGTTTCAAGTTTCGCTTCAGATCGCTTTTGCTTTCAGATCGCTTGTTCACTCAAAAATCCCAAGATAGGCTTTTCAAATAAATATCGATATATCGATATTTCTGGGCGATATATTTTGGAACGAAATTGTAACAAATACGATATTTTCTTTTGTTTTTATTTGAACGTTGGAATACCACTATTTTTAGTTATTAAAAGTTCTTACTTTATTCAAATTCTCATCTATTGGATAAAAATATTTACCTAAATTATGACATATACTTAAGTTATGACTTCTCTTGACTATATAGATACGAGACTTGGTACCATTACAACATCTTATCCTTTTCGTTTTTTAAAGCATAATTAACTTTTACGCAAGCCAAAATAGGACAAGGAGAAGCGAATTTCTTCCCAATTTCTCTTTAATGGTTATTAACATTGAATGAGTATGCAATGAATAGAGATTTGTTACTCTCTTAAAAAGATAGCTTTTGAAAGGAAACGATCTTTAAGAGAGTTTATTTGGCGAGAAATGACCAAATGCTCTGCACGAATGGATTCTTTCAACATTTCCATTAGTTAATTCTCTAAGGAGAAGTACTTATTTCTTATGTACCTTTTCATACTTATATATCTACTTAAGCCTGTCCAGCCTTTGTCTTTTAGAGTTTCCTAAAGAAATCCTTCCGAAGAAGAGAGATTTTACTCATTAAATTTATAAGGAGATTAACATTTTTTCATCTACTTATTTATGGAGATATAAAAATAAAGAAGAGATTATCTATTAAATGAGTATGTGCGTGCAAAAAGTGTTTTACCTACTTGAAGTGCTTTACATTTTTGAACAATTTTGCATTCACAATGATATACTAAAAAATATTCTTAGTGAAAAATGCTTAAAAATCCACTTTGATCCTGATACTCTGAGATGGGACTCGAACCCATGACCTTTCGGAAAACTGATCAAATATTAAAATGCAAAATTCATCAAATATAAAAATAACCATTTTTTTCCGTATACGCCTTCGTAAAATAAACGCTAGTATAGCAATGCTTAAAGTGATTATTACACTTTATTTTGAAACTCCACTTTGAAAAATTGTGCGATCTAGAATATACTTAACGCCATCTAGTACCATTTTTCATCACCTTAAAAGGATTTCTTTATAAGTTGTTAGAAAGATTTATCACAATAACAAATCAAATTGTAAACAATGGTTGCTATGGTAACATTTTTAAACCCCATAAAAAGTTCCACTTCGTTTTTATCCCTTTTAGTACTGGTTTTCGGGATAAAATATAACCTATTCCAGAGTATTCAAGAGTTAAACCGCTCAAATACCCATTTCCATAGGCCCAAAAACACAAAACTTTCATACAAACGTTTTCATTCTTTTTAACTCTCTTCGGGGTGGAATTTACAAAAATCTATAGGGGTTATGGAGATTGACTCCAAAAAATAATTCACTTTACTTACATAAAGAGTATATTGTCCACACGTGTAAAGCACAATGCATACACAAACAATCAGAAGAAAGATAGGCAGAAATATGTAAGCGAAGCATAATACAGTAGATACAATTTTATATTTAATTATTATGCGTAAAGCTTTGCGAATTTACAATGCGGTAAGCAGATTTTTATTAAGCATAGGCCACGCGCAGTGTTTAGTTCTCGACTGGGGTCCAATTTCAAGTCTCTACAACCAGCGACTTAGGCTGTGCGTTGTCTATCAATCAGTACATCAGGACTTCTGCTTAAAACCTTTTATTAAAACTAGAATTAACTCAAAATTATTAAATCAAAATTGTATCCAGTTAAAACTAGTTCTTACTAGACAAGACGGGTTTTCCAGTCATTGAAAACTGATTTTTAAAAAATTATTAGAACAATTTCAAAGTTTTGTATAACCTGAGGCCTTGTCACTGTATAAAATTTGATTAATACAAAACTTACATAAAAAATAAACTATGCAGATTGTTACGTTAAAAATAAAAGCTTGCCGCTATTATTTTTCTAAAAATAAAACTTATTTACTATTATAATATTGGTGAAGTCCACCATGTGCCTTAATAGATTGTTTATGAAATTCTGCCAATATCTTTCTCGGAACACTTCCCGTGTTAAAAAGGCCTTTCAAGTTCCCAAGATAGAAAACGTCAAGAAATGTTTGAACGAGCGTGGTGAAAACAAATTGGTTCGTTTATGAAGCGAAACCATTTTATAATTATAAAGTACATGCAATTTAAATGTAAACGTTGTTTAATAAATATTTTTTATTAAGTAGGTAAATAAATATACTTTTGAGGAGCTTGATGGCGCAGTGGCTAGCTCTCGGCCAGTGATAGGATGGGTGACCAAAAATTTATTATCTCGATCTCCTCCGTGCTTCCAAAGGCACGTTAAGCCGTTGGTACCGACTCTGCAGCCATTAATACACACCAATCTGCACTGTGCCGAGTGGTGGGTCATGGCCCATTCACCCTATTCGAATCAATTCAATTCCATCCATATTGAGGGCCTAAGCCCCTGCAGTGGGGACCTCAATAAGCTGACAGTGATCTTTAAATCTCTATGAAAAGTAATGATAAAAAATCTAGTTATTAAAAGAATAAATATTATACCTACAATTTAAATGAAAATATTTAAAAGACTGTTAGTTATCTAGGCGAAGGAATGATGTAGTCTGTAAACTGTAATTCGACTTTTGCGCAACGACAGCACAATTTCATCTCCTGCTTCATTTATAATAAAATAAATAGATAACTAGACAATTATATTCACATAATAACACGGTAAATGATTACTTGCTTACTTTCAAATCATATCTAATAATCACAAAATAGTGTTTATTGATATGATTGTAGCATTATAGATTTAATAGTGACAGGTATATAATATGTACTTATTAATTTGATCTCTTTTTTTATAAACCGTTAATTTTGTTTTTTTATATAGCATAATATTAGGTACTGGCCACTTTAATCACAAATGTCTCCTACCCTTGAAAATTCCAAATTCAAATTGATATAGCCATTTACACATATATTTGTGTTTTGTTAGGTGGTATTCATTTGTTTTTTTTTTCTTCTGTTTATCCTATTTACGTCACCCAGTATAAAAAATGGAAAACTTGAAATATCGTGTTATTTACGAGTACGAGTTCCACCGAGGTACCAGTGCTGCAGAAACGGCTCGAAAGGTTAATGATGAGTATGGAGGTTGTGTCGCAATAGAAAACACAGTGCGTTTTTGGTTCCAACGTTTTCGTTCTGGAAATTTCGACCTGCAGAACAAGCCCCGTCAACGGCGAGAGACCCAAGTTAATAATGAAGAATTGAAGGCTATTGTGGAAGCGGATCCATCGCAAACCAGGTCCAAGTTAGCTGCAGGCTGCGGTGTTAGTGATAAAACTGTTTTAATCCACTTGAAGCTAATTGGAAATATTAAAAAGCTTGAAAGGTGAGCTGTTCGTTTCTTGTTGATTGTTGAATTTTTATTAACAGAATTTAATCATGATTATAAAATTTAATAAACGATCCAATTTAAAAAAAATGTATTAATTTCAAAAGGACAACTTATTTGCACGTTGTACTTTGCACAAACGTCATTCTAGCCAGAAGTCATGTTATTTTGTATGAGTACCTAGTATATCTGATATATATCGGGTAAGTATAAGTTAATAAGCGGTTTTTTTATTATAATTATCGTTTTTATGATCTTCGTTACTGATTAAAAAATAGGGTTTTTTAATCAGTAACGAAGATTCACCACAAATAATATAAAAACATGATGTAACTTTGTTACTATAAGTTCAACTAACACCTAGGAGCAACAAAACTAACTTACCTAGTTGTTATTGTTTTCAGAACTTTTGTTAAATATTATTATCAAAAATGCTTAAACCTGCTTTGGCGTAAGTATTTTATTTATAAAAACTATTTCACGGTAATATTATTGTATACCGTAACTAAATACTATTTTTAATAATTACATTACATTTTATTGATTTCCATAACTTTTAAAAAATCTTCTCTATGCTCACTCTCATTTAAGTTAACAGTTAGTTTCCATTTTCCTGTATACATATAAAAAAAAATCAAAGAATCGTTCGTATTAATCAAGTTACGTTTGCGTAACTCACACTAATTGAATTACATCTCAATATTAATTGAATTTCAGTCATTAGATTCATAACAACACTGACAATTCTATTCTTTTTGTTCTAACGTCATGAATGAGGAAGTATTTTAAGAAAAAGAAAGCACTAAAAAGCATCTCACTAGATGGCGTCTCTACCAAAAGTTGATTATTCCAGGAAACGAATGAACTGAAGATAGTCATTTCCGTTCCTTTTAACTAATATATTAAAAAACTGAATCTAACTCGTATCGTATTATTAACCGACATTAAATACATTACATTATTATAATTAAATACCAACATGTGTTCGATTTGAGAAATCAGTAGAATCGATTCGTCGCACCGCACCTCTACAGTGTCAATCGGTCGGGCGGACAAATGTCAGATATATAAGAATTATTTATATTATTCTAACCTAAAATATATGTTCTGCTAAAATAATGGCCTCTGCTCTAATAAATGCTTTAAAGAAAATATATATTTCCCCAATAGTAACAATTCGCGCTTATTCTACTGCCACCAACACTTTGCCTGCAGCTTCGAATAACTTCGTGGAAGTAAATAAGAAGGAATGGAAATTTCCTCCAACTTATACAAAACCACGAGAAGTATGGATTGAAAACCTAGATAGTATTGAAGAGAAAAAGTTGGGATTATGTGAACTCCATCCTTTGGTGTACGCTACGGTACCACGCATTGATATCATTCACAGAAATGTTATATGGCAAAGGAAATACAGATGGGTGTCCTGGGCCCATACTAAAACGAGAGCTGAAGTGCGCGGTGGTGGCAAAAAACCTTGGCCACAGAAAGGTCTAGGTCGAGCAAGACATGGTTCGATTAGATCTCCATTGTTTCGTGGCGGCGGCGTAGCTCATGGCCCACGTTCTGGAAAAACTCATTTTTTCATGCTACCTTTTCACCTTAGAATATATGGCCTTACTTCGACTTTATCAGCGAAATTGGCACAAGATGATCTACACATTGTCAAAGATTTAGATTTACCATCAGATGAGCCAGATTATCTTTCGGACCTCATAGAAAGCAGAAACTGGGGTCCATCTGTGTTAATTGTTGACGAGTAAGTAATTTTTAGTTCACAGCATAATTTTACTTCATCAATTGAGAATAAAGATTGAGTGACTTACTACATATTGTTATTCAAGATTGATAACTTTGTAATTATACCTATCTCATTATTATATTTATAAAATTCACGTAGTCACAAAATATAAATTAAAAAATTAATTCTATTTTATAACTACACTTCTTTTCAGCTCTGACTTAGCTCCTAGAAATATTACAGCTGCATCTGATGCTCTTCCACATGTCAATATAATGCCTGTCTATGGACTCAATGTTTACTCGATGTTAAAACATGATACTTTAGTCCTGACATTATCTGCAGCAGAAAAGATAGAAGAAAGAATTTTACATCATCTGCATTCTATAACTAATGATAAGCAGGGTGAATTTAAATTGAGTCAAGTATAATAAATTAATATGATCACATATTAGATGAAATAAATGATAACCATAAGATTCTAAATATTTTATTTCTTCAAGTTTATATTTATTAATTACAGATATGGTTTAAATCATTATAGAATGTCATTTCTTTGTAAATCTATCCTTGTCTTCATTGATTGGAACCTGTAATAATAATGGCATCTTTATAATAAAAACTTAGGCAATTTCTCTCAGATATTCTATATAACAACAATTTATTAAAACAAATACTTTTACTTTACACCCTCTGTGTCAATAGTAAACACTGTTATTTTTTTATTACAAGTATGCTTGCCTTATTTGTCAGTTTAGGTGCATTTCCAGCCATTTTCTGTCGTACACTCCACCTCAAGTCGGACCAATCATTTTCACCTGGAACATTAGGTTTATATTTTGCCCACAATGCAGTGTAATAATGATATAGTGAAACTGGGTCACATTTCTTCTTTTGTGGTTGTTTAGGAACTTTGATTACTGAAATTATAAAAAGAAACTAAATGTTAGTAATTACTATCCTTTTAAATAACTGGTGGGATCTGGAAGCATCCCAAGTAATCTGCAGAGCCCTATAAAATATTACAATATGAAAATAATCAATAATTTTAAATAATGTTATGCATCTATTTTATAAAAAGATACATAAAATTTGTAATAAAGTTTATTTATCTAAACTTAAGTAGAGCATATAATATTAAAGCAAATAGGTCCATAGTTTCTTATATTTTTATAAAAATTTAATCATTTTTCTTCTAGAGTTTCAATTATTGAAATTATGTTTATAGTATTTGGTAGCAAAAGGTACTGTAAGCATATTTGTATAACAAAAAAATAACTATTAAAAACAAGATACATTACAATTGGAACTGGAAGCAGGTGGTATTTCCTTTGATACAGGATCAGGTTTTTTTTCTACTCTACTGCATGAGCAAAATCGTCGTAAAGGTTTATCACTGAAATTTTCCTTTCTATGCAGTCCTAATACAGGGGCAGAGTGAATATTCCGGACAGTATAAGTTTTTCTCTTATGACATACTCTGCCACAGACTTCAGATATATTTTCTTGACATTTAGATCTTATTCTTGAGGAGAAAGTACTTGCACTATGTAGCCGTTCTGGTCCACAAGGTTCTGGTTTTGACTCTAAGCTAGATTTTTCCTTCTTTTGTTGAAGATCATATTTTATGAGCTTTTTGAGATCTAAAAGTAAAAACAGTAAAATTATGTAAATAAGCTACACAATTATGGCATTTAAGGTGTGGGCATGGTGGTGACCACAGTACGACGCGCTGTCGCCACTGTCACCGCACCCATGGAGAATCAGTTTGGAGCCTTAGGAAATCCACAAATCTTTAAATACAACATAATGGGCAATTAATACAGCATTGTACTGTATGACATTCTGGGGTAGTGGATTAGTTTTTCAGTCAAAAATATAATATATAGAAAAAGGCCTTGTTAGCGTTGTTGCAGATTTTCGTAACGAATTTCATAAAGCGCAAATGGAGTAGGTAGCCATTTGGAATCAGAGCAATATTATAAGATGTTGTCTAATATTTATTTGAGTTTTTGTCTATTCGGCAGTTTACTATAGGCGGTTGCAAAAATTTACTCTAGTAAGCCTTAGAATGTGTTCTGTGAGTGCAGATTTTTCGTTACAAACCTACCTGTAATAAAATATTTCAAGATTTCACCACTTATATTATTTATACCTAAGTTATTTAGATATCGCAGTATTTCCCTGGGATCTAATTCCGAAGTAACCTCATAGTACTCCGTATCCATTTTGGAATAATTTAAAATAGATTTCAATGGCGGTTTAGATGATAATGATCAACTTTTAAGTCTGAATTTCAGTTACAAAACGCAAGTTACAGCATACTTGACATGACAAGTTAGTCAGTGTCGCCATGTCTACAAAATGTACAACGGTGATTCTACTAAAAAATACGGTAGATTCTTAACAATGAGGGAGTACCTAATAAAAAAAAGCATTACAAATACGAAAATGTACAAATAGAATATGAATAGAGTATTTGACACTTTTCTGAAAACTATTTTAAATCGTTGTTTGCTACATTATAAACTCACTGTCATTATATTTTATTGGAGTATTTTCTATTTTTGGTGAAAATAATTGTTAAAATTTAAATAGCCAAAATCGCGCGAAAAACGCTCTATGTAATGGCCCTGATCGTGACGTCACAGGCCAGTAAATATTTCAAATCGATAAGTATATAATAAATTGAAATAATAATTTAGAAGAGAAATTGAAGTCGTAATGCATATTTTTTACGTTTTTTATTTTCTTCTACTTTTCTTTATAAAATGAGCTACAAGTCTATGTGCGTAGTGCCACAATGTACTATAGTTCTATAAATAACAAACAAATTTCGAGTCTAGAAGAAAATAGATTCACAATCACAATAGATTAGTAGCTATATACATTAGAGATGGGTGATAAAATTAGGTAAGGATTCGCTAAAAGTATTGACACTTTTTTATTTCATATCGATACATTTGAAGGTTTTCTTTTTGGTTTTTTTCTATATCATTAACATTACGACTCATTTATATTTGTTTACAGGGCTCGCACTTTACAGCACGTCGACTTACAGATGGGTGAGACATGAGTACGAAAAATAATGTACTATTTTTTTTTACATGCATGTAGTATGTCTGTCCACTAAATGCATGGTACTTGATAATAAGACATCAGATCCCGATGATTTTTTTTATTAGTTTTTAACTTGGCGAACAGTATTATCATCAAAATCGACTTTGTAATTTTGAATTATTTTTATTAAAGTTCAAGAAATGAGAAAAATATGTAAGTTGCTTTTTTTAAATTGCTGGCATTTTCCCTATTTCTTGGATTTTTTGAAAAGCTTGGTAAATTATTCTTTCTTTCTGTTTTTGTTTTTGGCAGTTCTTATCAGCAGAAGCGGCAAAGTATTCTGTTACCAGTAAATTACTACCTATAAAGTACTCGATACCTACAGGCATCGATATTTTATGTATCTTTCTATCACTACTTTGACAGGACAGCTGATGACGTCACAGGCCAGTAAACAGAATCGTGATTGGTTGTGACAACGACCAATAATAGGACATTTTCGTCGTTGAATAAATTCCTAAAAATATTGCATTTTCTTTACGTTATTTTACTAAATCTCAACATGTTTTTTCTGCAGATGTTAAGAAATAAGCTTTATTAGATTATTATCTATCAGGATGACCACAAAATGCAACTTATTTTCAATAGTGTCAAATACCCTATTGTTTATTGAGTTTTGAAAATTAATTTACTTTTATTCATGAAAGAGACTCTAGTTTGATTTTAATAACTAATTTTTAATACTTCCTCATTATGGTGAATGATATAGGGAGAATATTGTGTAATGTTATAGTTGTTTTTTTCAATGAAACCCCAATTTGAGGTTTGAATTTTTTAACTCAAAAGTTGTATAAACTAGCCATTAGTCAGATTCTGATAACAAGATTTCCTCATTTTTGTAAATGTTCTCATTTAGTCCTTTCGACATTTCGTCAGTAGGCATAAAGTTTAATGCGCCTACGTTTTAAAGGATTAACAAGTTTTACCGTGGGTAGACATTTTTTTCTAAAATAATTATAACTTTATTAATAAATTACATTGTACCAAAGATTAGTATTACAGTGTATTTAAAGGTAATGTTGGCGTATATTATAACTTGTTTCAAAAATTTTATATAATTTCTATTTATATGGAAATGATTATCTTTAGTCCATTCGTTTCCTGCAAAAATCAACTTTTGATAGAGTCGCCATTTAGTGAGGTGCTTTTAAGTGCTTTCTTTTTTTCTTAAAATACTTCCTCATTAACGAATCGAGTTTGAGCAACCTCTTAACTAACATTACGCACACCTAGATCTAAACTGAGACAACTCAAAAATTTGAGTGAGTTTTGACTTAGTACAATATTCAATTATTCGGTGATCATACGCATCTATTCAACATAACAAATTCAATAAAGGTTAGGGGATGAGCCGCTCAACAACTTTAGCTTTCTGTTGTTGAATCAACAATGGTCGCGCTCCTGCCACGTAACAAATGTATTGTCAGACCTCCACATTAGTTTTTTGAGTTATCTTAGTTTAGATCTAGAGTCGAGAGTTCATGCAGTCGGTGTTTAAGAGGCCTCCTAGCTAAATGAAATTACAAATCACGCACCTCCCCCCCCCCCCAAAGCCTCTACAACAACGCCTCCCTTTAGGTTTGAAGCGCCTATAAGGGGGCATCATTGCCCACTTTGAGTAAGGCTACTATAAAGTTTTACTATCCAAGAGTTTGTGTGACATGATATTTTATTAATAAACTTATTAGTTTATTTATATAAAATATCATATTTGTGGGAATAAGCAACCATACTTAATAATTTTAAAGAGTTTTTAGAAAACTGTCCGATACCCTCTTTTACTTTTGACGCATACTAGTCTTACAGATTTGTCCCTTTAATCTAAAGTATATTATAGGTACGCAAAATCGAGATTAGAAAAACATCAAATAGAGCAACTCAAATACGGAACACCTACAAAGATGCCAAGTGCTGCACGAGCATTGGCGACTATGTGCAAAGAGTGAATACAATCCTTGTATGTAATCTCCTAATAAAAAAGTTTCTGACTCTGTGTGCCTTTTTGTTTTCCATTCTGTCAGCCATCGTTATAACAAATGTGCCCATAAACTATTGCAGTGTGAAAGCAAGTTTTGCAGACCCAAAAAAATTAGAAATATTCTCTTCAATTTTGTAAATATGATTGGCCTGCCTTCGATAATCTTACTTTTTGATACTCTTAAAGCAGACTAATATAGTACTTATTTATTCTATGTCTGTGGGTTACACTGCCATTATAACTCATAGAGATAAACTTAACTGTCAACCACTGTCAACTTCACAACCATGTCAATGTCATTTTTTCTTCTCTCGTTTTCGCGTTTGGCGACGCGGCTTCGGCTTTAGTAATTTATAAATATCTCAAAAACATTTAGTTTTATGTACAAAGAACCATCAGTCTCAAGACTATGGTAAATTCTTATATACACCATTGGAAACTATAACATTCAAATAAACACAACTTGTTTAAGTGATTAATTTCATTTTTTACTATTTGTTTGTTTTAGGATACACCAACTACTGGGACTAGTTCGCCTGGTCTCATAGGTACAGCGCCGCTTATCCCTCCGCCAATGCTTGGAGGTTTACCACCAACTATGCCACCCTCAGTGGCTATGCCGCCTGTACCCGGTCTACCACCAAACATGGCAGCAATTCCACCCCCAATGGGTTTCCCGCCTATGATTCCACCATTTTCTATGCCCCCACCAGGTTTTCCAACATTCAAACCAGTAAGTATATTATTAAATATTATATAATATAATTATCATAGTTTTCAACATATATGTGTAGTATATTTGTTGGTTAAGTATTATGATTGTATGTGTCTACTTTTTGTAGCCTGACTTCACGCCAGATCTGAATGCTCCAGCCCCAGATGTAGCACCAATAGCCAATCAAAGCAGTCCATGGTCAGAACATAAAGCACCAGATGGTCGTACTTACTATTATAACTCTGTAACTAAACAAAGCCTATGGGAAAAACCAGATGACCTTAAGACTCCTGCAGAAGTAAGTATTGAAGATGGATTATTGTATATTATTATGTACTTAATAAATGAATATTAATTTTAAAAAAAATGAAAAAGAGGTTTTAATGAAATTCTATAAATGAAACGTAAAATTTACAAAAGGATAAATTAATCTATTAATTACTAATAAAAACTATAATGATTTATATATGTGATACTTTAATTTTCCACAAATTAACTTTTATTTTTTTTTTTTGTTTAAAGATATTTGATACATAACTACTAAAATATAATATTTTAACTGCATTTTTAAAACTTTACAGTACAGCATTTAATGTAGCTTATATTTATGCATAAATTGCAAAAACTATTTGAAAATGTTTGTTTGGCTGTACTGGAAAGTTGTAGAAATAATACAAATTACTCTATAAATTAGTTACATACAGAAGGATTTATTGCAGAATCAATAATATCAGTTTTAAACAGCCACTAGTGGTAAAAGTATCATATATTAGATGGTTTTGTTAGGTCTCCATTAGCTTTGATGGGATGTCTCCCTGGTTAGAGAGAGGCTGCTGCAATTTTCTCAATTTGGTGTTTACTGGTTTTGCCTCTACTAAATAGTTTGAATTTAACTTTTCTTCAGAAACTGCTGTCGTCTTGTGTTTGGAAAGAGTATACCACAGATGCAGGCAGAGTATACTATCACAACATAGAGACAAAGGAATCTAGTTGGGTGGTGCCTAAAGAACTTCAAGAAATTAAAGATAAAATAGCTGCTGAAGAAGCTGCTCAGTAAGTTCCAATCTTATGTTTTTCCAGTATTTTAAACCAATACAAAGAAGTTTAAACAGTTAAGCGGGGAATTCACTAGATGGGCAAACTTGACAGATTTCACTACTCTAGGGCAAGCAGTCTTTACACAGACGAGGTCTGGTGGGCTTGTCTGTCTAGTGAATTCTTTGCTTTACATTCAAATCTACTTATCATATAGTTACAGAGGTTATAAATGTCCACATTTTTGACATATCTTCAACAGCCTAATGTTGTCACTGCTGATGCACCTTGCTTCCCTATGGGCATAGGCATAACACGCATTAAGCACTGAGGAGCTCAAAATAATAAATTTTGGTCATCCATCATAGGATATAATTTATGATGCAAAATAAAAAATTTAACACAGTACATCATATATTTTGTTCACAGAGCTGCTTTAAGTGCCGATATTACCCCTGGTGACGTGCCACTCCCAGGATCCCCATCCATTCCAGGAACCGGTGGCAGCTCTGCTCTTGATGAAGCTATGGCTAAGACTCTAGCAGCAATCGATCCATCTCTTGCTAACTCAATTCCTATTCCTGAAGAAAGTGAGTTTTCATTTATATTCAGATAAATTTCAAAATTAGGTTATGTCTATATATAAATATTTTAGTGAGTCGATTCTTTAAAATTATTTCTTTTTTATTGTAGTCAAACCTGAAGAGATCATAGCACCGCCTCAAACAGGTAATGACAGTGAAAAGGCACCTGAAACACAATACAAAGATAAAAGAGAAGCCATAGAAGCATTCAAGGAACTTTTGCGGGATAGGGTTAGTATTTTTATTTATTTATTCTATATTAATAACAGTGATATAATTTACATTGATATTGTAAAATGAAACAGATGGGATGTTATTGTACAACCACACACAGATACATATTGTTATGCTTCAATTTAACAAGAAATGGCTTAGATGATAGGGTTTAAAATTGAGGAGTCAAAACTTACTACGTCACAGTTTTGTAGAAAATGTACAAAAGCGTTAAGGTTAGGTTTTGTTATATCACTTGATTATTCAAATCATTCGTTCCAAAAGCGATTGCAACTTTTAACATTACATAATTCCATAAATCGCTAGATTGCGATAGATTTTGAAATTGGAAATATTTATGAAATCATTCATGAAGCTTACTTATTTTCAGAATGTCCCATCAAACGCAACATGGGAGCAATGCGTTAAAATTATATCAAAAGATCCTCGTTATCTTACATTCAAAAAGCTCAATGAGAAAAAACAGGCTTTCAACGCTTACAAAACTCAAAAACTAAAAGATGAAAGAGAGGAGCAAAGGTAAAGTCAATTTTTATATATTTTTGTACTATCTTAACTACTAGATGGTTATTTTAATTTCTAATTGATCAGGAAGACATTTACAGTTTTATCAAACTATACTACTTTCCTTTTGTTGTAAGTTTATTTGACATGAATTACTCTTTACTGTGTGTTCTTATCTATTCTTAAGCGCAAGGTATATATATATGGATTAAATAATCTACTAATCTTCTAGATTGAAAACAAAGAAGAATCGTGAAAACCTGGAAGAATTTTTGCTAAGCTGTGAACGTGTTACATCCTTAACCAAATACTACAAGTGTGAAGAAATGTTTAGTAATCTTGAGGTATGATTTTAAAGGTAATTCATTATTGCTTAAACGAATACATTTGTCTTAATGATGGAAAAAACATTTTTAGATATGGAAATGCGTGCCTGATTCCGACAGGAGGGACATATTTGAAGATTGCATATTTACAATAGCGAAACGCGAGAAAGAAGAAGCTAAAGCGCTGAAGAAACGCAACATGAAAATGTTATCACAGGTATAAAAGAATGGGAATTATTATGTTTTAAACATGTAAACAGGGTGGGTGCACTATTCCCACACCAGAAAATTGAAGTACATTATTTCAACCTGCAATCCTAAAGATTGTATTTTTTTTTTACTGAGTAAGGAATACAACAATTTTTTCTTTTGCTACGCCTGTTGCAATAATTGAATCAGTTTGCTACTGGTGAACCCACTCTTTGCTAAATTTTGCCCATTAACTACTAATTTTATTTTAATTAAATAAATGATAGATTAATGATTTCCTTAGTCAGGTTAATACTTTAAATTCTTGCTCATCTGATCATCTGAAATAACGCTCTTACGGTCAGTTGCACAATCGTCCATCAAAGTTTAATGACGCCTTTAAGCTCTAAATCTATGTCAAATTTTTATAACAATAAATTAAATTTTCATTAGTTTAAAACCATATTTCCCATACAAATTTAACATTCATTAGAGCTAAAAGGCGTCATTAAACTTTGATGGACGATTGTGCAACTGAAAAGCGCTGAAGAAACGCAACATGAAAATGTTATCACAGGTATTCATAAGAGCTTAAAGGCGTCATTAAATCGCTGACGAAATCCTAATGGACGTTTGTGCAACCTACCGAATGTCTCTTAAAACTAATAATAATTTTAATGGATGTTTGTGCAACTGGCTGTAGTAGTTCATTTGCTTAGAATAGCATTAAAATCGAATGTTTCGATTTGAACATGGTCACAACTTGAATAGAAATTAAAAGAAACCTTATTTCTTACGCAGGTCTTAGAAAACATGAATGAAATATCATACAGCAGTACATGGAGTGAAGCTCAAGTGTTACTTTTAGAAAACTCTTCATTCAAAAACGACGTGAGTTTATTAGGAATGGATAAAGAAGATGCACTTATTGGTAATTTTTGTATTAATATATTTGTCTACCGCAACAACTATTCGACAAACTTGTAACCTCTATATTTTGTATTTGTATATTATTCTTTCAGTATTCGAACAGCACATTAGAAATTTGGAAGCTGAATATTTACAGGAGAAAGAACAACTGAAAAAGCGGAATAAGCGACAACAAAGGAAAAACAGAGACAACTTTCTGGTAAATTGAATAAAGTACATTTTAGATTTCTATGACCTCCATGGTCAGTTGGCCCACTCATTATGCATTTCATGAACAAATTGGAACAGTCGTACGGTCTAGCCCCTAAAAACACCTAATTTTTTTACCTATTACAATTCCTTTCAATTTGACATTTTGAAATTCTCGAACTTCACGCTACTTCAACTGCATTGTATGAAATATATCGTTTATTGGTATTATATAAGCGAAGTGCTACATCAAGCGCAAGTTCGGCTTTCGTTATGTAGCGCTGAGAACTGTCTTTTCGCTCTGACCAACTGGTAGTGCAGAATGGAACTTGATGAAGAGTTTTATTCCATTCTAACCAACTTGTTAATATATATATGTGATGTTGTCTAATATTTTAAAAGATATACCATTAGAGGTCTGCTAATTGTTATTCTCTATTATTGTTCCGTTCTTAAATTGCAGATTGTCGGTAAGATATATATGATGGTTTATTATTAATTATGAAATTGTTGATGACAGTCTTCATTATACGTGGAAAATGAACTGTATTAAAATTTTTAGGCCCTCCTAGAAGGATTACACGAAGAAGGGAAATTAACATCAATGTCTCTATGGGTAGAATTATATCCAGTAATTTCTGCAGACATGCGATTCTCAGCTATGTTAGGTAAGTTTGCCTGCATGAAATATAATAATGTTAACGATGAGACATGTGGCTCCCAGGCATGTATCAAGAGATCCCCATCTCTAAGCTCAGGTCCACATAGAAAATGAACTCTTCTATATTGGCTCGGGTCTGGATGTTGTAAATGTTTTGTCTGAAAAACTCAATAATACGAATGCTTTAACTGCTCATCTTGGAATCTGAGCAATGTATCTGATGTCGTCTAATATTTATTTCATTTCTGCACCAGTCGCAATAAATCACCTATTTAATGGTTTTGCGTTATGATTCCTGGTCAAATCAATGTGGAAAGTGAACATTTCTGTATTTTATTATCTCGAGTTTGGGAATTGTTACCTCCATTTCGTCTCGTCTCTTCGTCGACGACATAATACAAGCGCTCAAAAGAATTTTATTTAGGCTGTTGTCTAATTTTTCTTTATTGTCGATATAATAATCTTCCAGGGCAAAACGGTTCCACACCCCTGGATCTCTTCAAATTTTACGTGGAAAACTTGAAAGCGCGATTCCATGACGAAAAGAAAGTTATCAAAGAGATACTTAAAGAGAAAGAATTTGATGTGAAACCGGACACAACGTTTGAGGAGTTCGCCACTGTCGTATGTGAAGATAGCAAGTCCGCGTCTTTGGATGCTGGAAACGTGAAACTCACATATAACTCGTTACTTGAAAAGGTGCGTACAAGTTTAATAAGTGGAATGCAAACTAGACTAGACTGCAAAAAGTTAATAACTCATTCAGGGGTCTTTGTGTGCGCTTCTACAATAAGGTCCCAAGCAAAATACAACAATTAGATATCATGCAATTTAAATGTACTATTAAAAAAAAATACTTATTAAAAAAGCTTATTACAGATAAGAATGCTTGGAATTAAGAGGGTCCAGCACTTGGATAGGTGATTTCCTCTAAACTTATTATATCTCAAAATTTTCTTGTTTCCATTATTACTAAATTATTATGTTACCATTAAAAGACCATAGTTTATTTTTTGCTTTCTATTTATAATGTGTTAGACCATAGCTTTTCTGTCCTTTCTATTTATAATGTATTGATCTGGTAATGACATGGTTTTTGTGACTGTCATTAGACCTGATTACCTATTAGAGCTGATGAGTTTCTTGCTTGTTCTTATCAGTCAAAAGACGTCCTGAACGAGTGGTAGGGAAATGTTAAACGATTCAAAAGTAATTTTAAGAAGTCTATTTGAATAAAGATTATTTTGACTTTGAGTAGGGTTAGTAGTAGTTCATAATGCCCAATTGCCAAAATGTCCAATGCTTTCAAAATTTGCCGTTTCCGAAATGTCCAATTACTGTAATGTCAAGTTCCCAAAGTGTCCAATCTTACAACTTAGCTCAGAACGGCTTTTTATTAGATCGAGTCACAGTTACATTTGTCCATGAGTTCGGCATTCGGATTGGGGCCGATTTCACTGACCCTTTCATTTGTTGGTCATTGTTTTTCTGACCAATGATATCAGCTGGCAAAACACTCTATCGACTAATGGAAATAAACGATAACATCTACAAACTAACAGTGATGACTAAACCTAAATTTTTTTACCGAAAATCTGAAACCAATCAATCATTTAAATAAATGATGAGCGTCTAATAATTTCAATTTATCTAAGAATTATAATTTAGTTTGATCGCGTCTAAACGATAAAACCGCCGAATGTAAGATTGAATGTATGTAAATTAATTTCTAACAAGTTAAGAATATTCCATTAATTCAATGGATTTCCCTTAGGCTGAAGCAAGAAATAAAGAGAAAATAAAGGAAGAATCTAAGGCACAGAAGAAAATAGAAAGTGCTTTCAAATGGGCGTTAACAGACGCTAACATTGACCATCAGCTGTCCTGGAGTGAAGCAAAAGAGAAATTAGACCTCGCAGCACCTGAGTTTACAGCTGTTCCCAATGAAGAAGATCGAATAAGGATATATAAAGTATGTATTATTAATGACTTTTTTATTAAATTCATTTATTTAATACTAGATTTCCACCAGAGGCGTCTCCTGCTTTTTCTTGTAATATGTATAAATTTCTTCTTGTATAAATTTGACAACTTTCTTTTTATTCAAATAAATAGTCCATTAATATCTGAGAAATAATGTAGAAGTAACAGCATGTATGCAATTAATAATTTCTGAGATGCTGTGCTATGATTGTGGAACTGCTGTTATTCGGCCTAAGACGCTACCTACAAATTCAAGGCACTAAGTGATGTCACACAATGCAACGGTAGCGAAATACATATGGGCTTCTGGGCAATTTTTGTAATATCTTATTTATTTGTGCGTTTATAGCTGTTATAATGAAAGTTGTAAAATTTTAAGTAACTCATTTATTGCCATATGTATAATATAAAAAAAAATTGTAAGTTTTCAAAGTGTAATATTCTCTAAATTATTGTCATAAAATTTGTTTATGTTAAATATTTATACGTTTAAATGGTTCATATTTTCTGAACATGTAACAGAATCCTGTATTTTCACTTGTAGCACACAAGCCAATTCACCATATCGCACTATATTAAATCAGCGCGAGTCTCATTTTCTTCTTTTTAATTAATGGCGTTGCCCTTGTGGATTTCGCCGGAACTAAGTGTTTCGCTCAGATCACTTCATATTTTAGTATTTTATAAACTCTGCTTTTTGTATGTTGATAGTGAAAACCCAAGCTAAAATTTAGAATTTTGTTGAAGTCTCATCTAACGTTACTGTCAAAGTTACATTACGTAAGACAGTCGGTACATAGTGATGTCTATGGTAGTTGATATTTTTTGTATTGTTTTTTGTCTAACGCAAAGTCGTCTATTCTACAAAGCACATTTGAGTTTATCGTAATATGTTTTCCAATTCCTTGTAAATTCTACAATAGTCCGTTGCTAGGCCTTTTTCTATATTTAATAGACACTCGCTTTCGGCCGCGTTCCTAGAGAAATGTTTAGTGGGATAAAAAGTTCCACTATCTAAGTCCGCTAATACCCTATCTGTATACCAAATTTCATCAAAATCTGTTCAGTAGTTTCGACGTGATTAACGGACAAACATCCAAACAAAGAAACTTTCACATTTATTATATTAATATTTAAATGTTTCCATTTCTTCAGATTGGTATGATGTGATATAGGATGTTATACTTAATATTTATATTTATTTTATTTAGGATTTTCAACATGAGCAAGAAGAAAGCTGTATGCATTATCATCATCATAAATTACGGAAATCGAAACGATCGAAGAAGAAGAAACGTTCACACTCTACTTCGCCACTGGTAATTATAATATTATTAAATAATTTACCACTGTCAAGATATACCGTATTAAAATTGTACTCTAAGAAAAATCTAAATTTTATCAAAATGTCTATTGTAATTTTATCTAAAGGGTATTCAAAAATAAACTGATACCTGTTTTTAATACACATGCGGTTAATAATAGAAAAATTTGTTACGTATGTACGTGTTCTGCTCTTTTAATCAGCCTATATGAATGCCTATATAAATGATATTAACGTAATTTAAAATATTTTGGTCACCCATCCAAATGGACAATCGCGGAGATTGCTTAACTTTCACGATTGTCTCCAGTCAAAGTCCCGGTCGCCGACGCCATCGCCGACGGCTCGGTCGCCGTCTCCTGCTCCCAGTCACACCTCGTGGACGTCCGAAGAAGGCCGCTCGAAGCATAAGAAGTCTAAGAAAAAGCATAGGAAACACTCACCTGCACCGGTAAGTTTTATCAACACATAACAACAAAATCCTATTTTTAAGATATTGATATTTCAACGTATATTTAATAGTTTTAGTCGTCTCTAGATGGCGTTACGTTGGTGTTATAATTGATTTATCGATATATTATATTAATATTTGAATACTATTGCTGATAGCTAAATGGGCTGAACTGAAATTGTAGTATTTCAATCTACAATGTACCTTATTTATAAGCAAATAAATTATTATTAGTATTAGAAATATTTATACTCCCTCTACCTCTCTCTCTTTCTCTCTCTCTCTCTCTCTCTCTCTCTATCTCTCTATCTATCTATCTCTCTATTTGATTTGGGCTGATTCCGTCCGAACGGAAGGATTAGAAGTTGGGACTCGAAGCCCAGCAATGAGGACATTAATAGGAAAACTGTTTAGGCCGTGTTATATTCTATATATTTATGAAAAACCAATACGTTTGTTTTTGCTAATTCACTTCAGATCAAGGTGTCGATAAAAAAGAAAAGAAACCGTATAAATAAACCAAGTTAATAAAGAAAATTAACTTTACTATATTGTCTCGTAATTTGCATGTGACTTTAGATACATACTTAATTAAGAATATAACCAATATCTCCAATGTTGTATCATCACTATCATCCCTTTTACGTCCCCACTGTAGGGACTCGGGCTTTCCTTATGGAGGATGGGCAATGATACTCCACGCTGGCTTAATACGGATTGGAGGGTATGATATACTGATGCCGTATAAAATTTATTTATTTATTTTAGAAATCTCCCACTCCTGAAGAGGGTGGTATAATGAGCGATGACGAACCTGTCCGTCACAAGAGTAAGAAGAATAAACGCAGCGCACCAAGCAGCCCTGAAGAGGATCACGAGCACTCGCACAAACCCAAGAAAAAGAAAGAGAAGAAAGATAAAAAGGAAAGGTTCGTGCACACAACTTGTTGGTCACTAATGGCTGGTTTACACGTATTAGCTAACTAGATTGTTAACTAAATTTTATTTTTTCATTAATTTGAAACCAACAGCGTTACAAAAGCTTTATATGAAGACATAATTACATAAGTTTTTGCAAAAAATAGAACCAACTACAAAATAAAAAATAAAAAAAAATTATCTTAAAAAGCGTTCTATTCAAGAAACTGGTATTCAAGTCGGGCAGAGGTTTCTGTAGGTTATTAATTATATGACAAGCGCCGGACTTCTATACCAGTTTCTTTAAAAAGCGTCCGGCCTTCAGTATTATAAAAATTATCAAATGTTCATTCCAAGAAAGTTAATTGTATTTTATAAGCCTTCTATAGTGTTTTTTATTTGGCTAAAACAATATGCTGTTCTAAGTTGCGAGATATTTCAGCTTAACATATCATTGCTAATCGGATATTGAGGATTCTTAAAACTAGTGCTGGGTTGATTGATTGATCAATCAAGTGATTATTATGTATTATATGTTTACATGTACTTAATAATTTAAAATTAAGTCAATTAAATATAAACTTAATATGTGTAAACCAGCCTTATGAGACATGTAATGGTTTGAAGTTTTTTAAATACACATTTTATTAATGTTAGAGGTTCGATGAATATTATTGAACCACTAATCTAAAAATTAACATTCGATATATCGTGGGTTATTTTGTTGGACATCCTGCAGTTTAGACTGAGTTTGCGATCGTAATCTTACCGAATTCGGTAGCTGAATCATAGCGAACCTGTTTTAACGATTATTTCTAGTTTTTCATCGTCATTTGTTAGGCACATAGCAAGTGCAACTGTCAAATTAGTGATATTCGTACTTTTCCAAAAGATCGAGTTTGACTGCTCGACCAGTGACTCTGCGGTCGCTACTTAACGATCTGTTATATACATATATGTTATATAGTATATAATATATACAATACGTAACATAAATAACGCACATCATTATACACCCCAATGAGGAAGTATTTTAAGAAAAAAAAAGGACTAAAAAGCACCTCACTAGATGGCGACTCTAGAAAAAGTTTATTTTTGCAGGAAACGAATAGACCAAATAGATAGTCATTTCCGTTCCTTTTAACTAACATATTAAAAATGGTCAGCCTGACAGATTCATTTTCACAGATCTATCAGGGCTTTCTTTTACAAACACATCGGGGTTTAAAGTTACGCAAAGCAGCTGTTCTTAGGTTACGCAGAATCGCTATTCTAATTTTCGTATTTCACGATATATCGAAATTTAGTTTTTAAAGTGTCCATTTAATTAATTAACTTTTCGCAATAATGAGATCCAATTACATAATCGGGATGATGACTATTGAAGAATATCAAACACGTATATTTTTTTTATTTCTTGCGGAATCTATAGATCAAGTTAAAATGTCTCGTGAAGTCAGTCAGTACATTTTCTACAAAACAGTGACGTAGCGAGCCCTCCCTCCTCAACTTTAATGCCTGTTATCTAAGTAATTTCTTGTAAAATTGAAACAAAAAAAAATATGTATCTAATATTTTTTATAAGAATAAATTTGAATTTCTTTTTTTTTTACCCAGTCATCACCCCTATTATAGCGTACTCTCATGAGTATATCCATTTATAAGCCGACATATGGTAATAGGAGATAATAGTATCGGTACGGTCAGGTCGGGCGGGTCCGCGGTATGGAGTGATGCCGAGCTCGAGTCGAGGCGCGCCCTCCTGCTCGCGCAGCTGCACGAGCACGAGGCGGACTGACGTCCCGTCACGCATATACACATATTTAATGACTACCCGCGACCCCCCCACCACCCGCAACCATCCCCGCCCGTCCAACCTCCCACGCCTACATTACCCTCTCCACATCTAGATTCCGATACCTCGTAAGTATACTGCGCTAAAGCCGTTAGTACACCGAATCATCAACGAAACTAAGGCAAACAGGGTTGTCACCTAGTACAGAGTTATTGGCGCTCAATTCTTTCCATCTACGCTTTAATGGATTTTATCTACACTCAAATCGAAAATTTTGAATTACGAATTCAAAGACGATTCTATACATATGCACTTTTGTAAAACGCATATTCATAAAATTAAAAATAAAACTCATTAAAGTATCGCTATCTTTTTTATTCATTAAACTAGTCTATGGTTCTAGGCTGAATATGAAAACTAAGGAGCACGCATGCGCAGTTCGAACTGTGAAAAAAAAATGGCGCACGCATAAATTACTTCCTACCTACTTTGTTTAATTTCAATTTTTCCTATGAGTGAAGATAAAGTAGTGTATGAAACTGCATATAACTTAGGTATTAAAACACTCGAGTCAAACAGACTCGTGTTTTAATACCCCTTCTTATATGACAGTTGCATAAACTAATATTAGCCAGGTGTAGATATATTTATATCCATTGATAAAACTAGCTAACAATCGTTAAGTAATTAATCTTTATTTTTAGAGTTCTGTAACATAAAGCACTGAGGTCACTTTGTAACTTTTTGTCTTTGATCTTTAACATAATTTATTTTTATTATTCACTTTTCGTAATTTGAAATTTTATGAATGTCAATTCGTCGACTTAGAAACAATATTCACACTTAATGTCTATCAATAGCGATTTGTTGTAAAAAAAAATGTTAAAATCTATTTATAATTACCTGTTTTCGTTGCCATACAACTGACTTTATTTCGCAAACGTTTCGCATTCGCATGCGATCGCGTTGGTGTACTAACGGCTTAATTGTCACGTTTCAAATCTATCTCAATCTCAAATTGTCATTTGAAAACATATTTACGAACTTAACGGAGTTTTTTTCTGTACAGCGATCGTGCTTACGACTATTTGAAAAGTAATAGCGAATGCGAAAGTGACGTTTCTGTGAAAGATATTGGATGAGCGATATCGTTAATTTGGTGTTAATTGTAATTGTCTACGGCGAGCGTTGAACGCAAATATAACTTTCAGTTAAGTTTTTAGTTTCTCGATCATTCAAGCCATCACCCATTTCGAAAGCCATTGAGACTTTAAACGCTACATACTTGCAACAACCGTTATAAGTTGGAAAGGAATTGCGATAGAATTTGAAATTAAAAAATAAGCACACTAGCAAGAGCTGCATAGGAATAAAAATTAGTTGAAATCTGTCTCATTTCAACTAATTTTTCTTCTAACTTCTAAGGCCTTGATAATTGCCAGCATCAGCACTTTTATGTCCCCACTGTAGGGGCTCATGCCTTCCTTAAGGATGGTTAAGGATGGGCCATAACCCACCACGCTGGCACAATGCGGATGGAGGGATGATTGCCTAGTGCAATGTGATGAGGCCTCTCCTTCATCATTCGAACTCGATTTTAGTAGTATGCTCAAACTATCTTTGTTTCGGTAAAAATTATTGGTTGCGTACAATATTGTATTAATACCAATTATACATAATTGTATTAAAAATATTCTGTAATTGAATTATCCAATCTGAATATAGGTAAAATTCAGCTGTTAGATGAAGTACTAAACTACACACAACATTAAAATGTAACATATTTATATAGAAAGAAAGATATATACAATCCTAGTATTATTTTAAATCTAGCTTTCCGCCAGCGGCTTTGCCCGCATGGTCTCTATTGAATCGTTTAATCAAAGTAGGATAAAAATAGCCTATTGTTAATCCTGACTGAGAATGATCTATATACCAGATTTCATCAAAATCCGATCAGTAGTGTACACTAAAGAGTAATTAAGCATACATCCTTACAAATTTTCGCATTTATATATTAGTAGGAGTTTTGTACCTATAATATGCTATTGCTTTTGATTCAAAGAAGAGGGGTTGCAAAAGTTTTAAAGTCCATATATATATTGAGAGCAATAAAAAGAATTGAAGAGTTGTAAATATATTTTTAGTTGCTCAGATTTATGCTATGATAGTGTATGGATAAGATGTTGATTGTACAATAACTTTTACCTTTTCATTTTAGGAAAATAATTAGTTTATAACTTAGATGTAAGGTATAATTTAATGCTTTGACATTGAAAATAATAAAATATGAAAATTTAAGACTGTTTCAATTTAAACTTTCTCATTAAGTAATAGTATGTATGTTTTGTCTATTAGAACAGGCGAAGGGACTTATGCCCGTTTTCACTAAACTTAGGAGTCACCCAAATCTGACACCTAAATATTTGGGCATTGTTCTAGGCGATAATGCGTTTCAGCAATGACAAGGAGACACCTAACGACATTAGGCAACGCTTAAAGTTAGGACATGCATTGTGCGGCACCTAGCGCTGGGCATTTACGTAATGTGACATATACATTTACTCTTTGGCCACAACGGATATGTAAAGGGATAAAATCAATTAAGTATGTTGGAATCAAGGAGTTCATATATTATAAATACGATAAAAACAATGAGATTTTTTGAATTTTCGGCCTTTTTGGGACGATGAAGACTTGGGCACTCGTGTAAACACAAGACCACGTATATTTTTTTTTGTTTTATTACCTCAAAATGTATTTTTTTGTTATTATCTCTTAACTTGTAAAGGCTACTAACGCGACATTGGCGGAATAATGTAAACGCAAATAGGCCATACATTCAAAAAAAGAAGTGGAACTGAAGCATGCAAAATCATAGACAAACGTTGCATAACTAAACAAGTACTTAGTATGGCATTACATAACGTAATAGGTCTGGTAAAACGACCAAACTGCTTGCGCTATTCTTAATATAAAGTGATTTCTAGTCAAACTATGCCTTGTTCTAGCTTAGTGAAAACGGGCATTAGCCATACTGCCAGATGCAAAGCCTTAATTCACGAGACATGGATTTAATAGAAACATCAAGGATATAATACACATTTATCATGGTTTACAGTACAATATACAATGTTTATAAAATATTGACAAAATATCCATTAATAAAACTAGCTAACAATCATTAAATAACACTTCTTTATTTACTTCTTCTTTATTTTTAGAGATTTGATATAAAGCACTATGGTCACCAAAAGGCTTTCAGTTCTCATTCTATGAGCGGGACAGGATGCTTGACCGAATGCACCAGCTTTTTTACATTAACACCATTACTATAAATGAAAACCAACTAAAGTAACACATATACAACTAAGTAACATTTATACAACTTATCTAAAGAATATTCTGGCACTGGTAAGACTATAATATAATAATTTGTATTCTTCCTCAATTATTTTTAACTTCTTTTCTGTAAGAGCTAAAGTTTGCTGCAATTGCACCGATCCCTTTAATTTTTGTTCCTCCAGCAGCTTTCTTTCATTTTGGATGTGCTTCCAAACGGAATCGAACCAATGTAATGATTCAAAATCACAGTCCTGAAAAGTAGAACTTTATTTACTAACATGAAATAGAATTTGTAACTCAAATGAGTGATATAAATGACACAGCCAATGAGATGACGAAGCAAATCAATATAGACATTCTATATTCAGAAAAAATGCCAGAGAAAAAATAATAATTCGATTTTAAAACATTGAAATCAGAAGATTAAAAATAATGATGTAATTTTCTGACCTGGTCTAACAATTTCAAAATGTAAGCTATGCCCATAGCAAATCCATCATCAGTAAAAGCAGCCCCAACTTTGTTTTTCTTTGTCATTTTATCTTTAGACAGTATCATATGTTCTACAAAATTGAGAGTGAGCGGTGGCACAATAATGAAAAAATTTTTAAGGTGCACATTCTTTGGGTTTCGAAACACCGGCGCAAATACATCTACCAGTAGTTTAAAATACTCAGTACCCTGTAAAAAGTTGGTCACCAAACTATTGATGGTATTGTCCAAATTTTCAGATGAATTAATAGATCTTTGTCCTAAATTGTTCTCTTCACACATTTCTTTGAAAGAGCTTACTGTGTCTAAATCGGGTAAAAATATAGTGGCATCTGAACAACAATGCCTGCCACCAGATCTTATCATTCTCACATACCCCATCGCATTTCCAATCTGACTTATAAGGTCGCGAAATAAATCTAAATAGCTTTGGCCGTCTTCATCAATCCCGAGAACTCTTATACCCTTATTAAATCTTTCTGCATTTTTATAAGGGTACATGTTTCCACCATTTGATGTTGTGTCTTTAAAGTTTCGCAAATCTTTGACCAGCCTTGATTTTATATGTTCATCAAACATAAATTGTGAAAAAGTGAAAAATTTCTTTTTTAAAAATTGATAAGTAAAATTTACAGTTGTGTTCATAATCCCTGTACCATGTGTTCTTATTGAGTTTGCAATATGTCTGATGTTTATCGAGTTTAAGTGTTTATTGTTACTGCTTTTTTCAATAAATATTTGATTATTTAAATTGTATAGATACTTTGAGACAAATATGTGGATATTTCTCATGATTTCCAGGACATCCAATCCTTGCTCAAGTGTTTGTGTGGGCAAATTATCTTGAACCGTTTTGAGATTGAACTTAAACTTTGCCATTTGTCTCATTTCACCATATGTTTTCCAATCTGATAGTACTACAGTAGTTAAATTGTAATACATCATGGATAAATAGTGTTCCACTGATGGAACAACACACATGTATACACTTTGGATACGTAGCTGATCAATGGCTAGCAACAATTTCTTAGTCATATCTGTTGTGAATGGATTCACAACATCCAATTGCAAATGAGAATGAATATGTAAACGCAAATTTGTTTCTATATTCTGGCTAGTAGTGTTTATTATTTTATCATTTATTAAATTTTTCATTTCTTTTAAAAAGTCTTGTGACTTGCTGGAATTAAATAGAATGTCCGTATTATGTAGCAATAATGCACAGTCTTCCAATACCATCAGAAAATATTTCACTTTCATTGCGTTCAATTGTACATTAAAGTTCTGTTCAAAATATATAGGAATAACATTTTGGTGCCACAATATCCAAGAACAGTTACATAAGTTGTCAAAGGATTTTGTGAAATTAGATAATGTTTGCACTTTCTCCAAAAGAATACATAATTTAGCATAACTATCATCTGAATATGTGCTGTCTGGTATTAAACTCAATGCTACATTTGCTGCTATATTGCGTTCTAATGTTGTTGCACCCCTTAGAGCCTGTTCAGCTATCACAACACATGTCAATTCATCTAACCTCTTGTTAGCATAATTTTTGTCTCCCACCAGACTTTTTTTCACTTCTTGAACAGAGACTGTTGCTTGAAATAGCAAATGGTGAATAATCATATTGACAGAGTTAATAATCTTATAATGGTTACGTAGAATAACATTTTGCAAACTCTTTAATGTGTCTATTATATCAAACAGTGACATAAGAATGCTTTTAGATAATGGTATTCCTAAACAGAGATGAAGACTAATCAGTGTAAGAATATAGTAATTGATGCTAGATGTTATTTCTAGTCCTTCAAGCAAGATCTTAGCATGTTGAGCCATTTCAGCAGCATTTAGTTTATTATGATTTATGGAGAATATCTCTTCGATATTCAATGCCCAGTGAGTGCACACTAATTGATAGTAAGCTATATCTTTGACAAGTGATGTTTTTTTAGCAGTAATGTATGCCTGCCTTGATTTAAGCATTATTTGAGAATTTTTCCCATAGCTTGCACAAAGTGCTGGTAAATGTCTCTGAAGAAACTGTTCTGGAAACCAGACAGTAGTTCCTATGACATGAATACTGTGAGCCTGAAATATAATGATAAAATAATTATAAAAAATTCAGAAGAAATCTCAAAAAACTAATGTTTAAAGTAAGTATTAAAAATATATGAACCTTTGTATTCAACTCAATTAGAGATTTAAATATTTTTTTATCACTATTACCAAACAAATGTGCACTCAATACAAAAAGGACATTCATTTTAATACATTTGTACATATTTGTAATATTTGGCTTCTCCTGAACTATTTTATCAAGATTTGTAATAGCTTGTTTCAAGTACAGCATAAATTCTGCTGATACATTAGAACAATTTTTGTCTACTAAGTCTTTTCTTAGAGTCAATAAATTTTGCAGGGTGTTTTGTACTATATCATCATGCAACAATTTAGAAGAAATATTTTCAGTAGCTCCAAGCAATGCTTCAAAATGTTCTTCTGTCAAATTTAGTTTTTCTGGTGTTTGACTGAATGACTGAAGAGTTTTACAGTATTTATTCCATTTAGATGTTAATGTAGTGTTAGATATCAACAACTCCAACAATGCAATTAGTGCAAATAGCTCTCCTATGTGATTTATTACATAGTGGAGTTGAATGGCATCTGAAAATAGAATAAATATGAATTATAGTCTTAAATAGATTCAACCATAGTCTCAAAAAACATATTATGGTTGCAGGATAGGCAGAATAGTGATAAACTGTCTCTACAAATATATCTTTAACAAAAGAAGGATAGTTAAAGAAAGTCACATACTCAAGTTGACTATTGCTTCTGTAAAAACAGCAAATACTTGACTGCACATATTCCGAATAGTATCATCACACCTCATATAAAAAGCATACATTGAACATATTGTCTCCATTTGAAAAGCAATATTGCTATTACTATGTTCCTCATAAATTGCCAAAAATGGGAAATATCTGAAAATAATTTTGCTTTAAAGAAAGTTTAGTTCACAATTCTGTAATAAATTAATTGACGTTTTACCTTTCAAAGGCTTCTTTTTTTAGCTCTATCACTTCCACGCAAAGCGATGATAAAACACCTAACACTTTGGTCATCATGGTGTTATCAGAAGAAACAAGTTTGGTGATTGAAATCTGCTCACTAGGTTCCATGTATAATTGTATCGGTATAAAAGTTTTGTTTCCTTCCCAAACTTCATTTCTGCTCATTAAAACTAGATCTTGATGTTGCTTTTTGAAGAATTCTCCATAACTTTTTAGAATGTATGAACCAGCTTCCTTCTCAGTATCGGTTCCCATTTTAGGAAAATTATAGATATCGCCAAGTTTGTTTACCCACGACCAATACTTTAATAATCTTTTTTGAAATAAGTAAATAAAAAAAAACAGGCACACAATTATTTACTGGCGTTCTTATTCTTTTGTATTTATTTTTAATCTCAGCATATTTTTACACAATTCTGCCAATGTCACGTTGGTGGTCTTTACACATAAAGAGACGTTAACAAAAATATGATTTAGAATTTTGAGGTAATAGCTAAAAGACTTGAGGTAATATAAAGATAATTTATATAGAAAACAAAAATATTTATAAAGTATGACTATTGTTGATTGTTCCATATCCATTATTACCAAGCATCCAGTATATCTTTTTATAAAACATCGTTTATTATTATTTATAAAATACAAGTTAAAAGTAGTCTTGTATTAATCAGCTTATGTACCCATTTGTATTTTCCAAAGAAATCGATTCTTCATAATATGGAATCAATGGTATCGATTTCAAAGTATTTGATATCGATGCTGTGTTATGCTCGCAAAGTAATAATGCGACTCAGGTCATACTCGAGTAAAAATGTGCTACAAAAAGTGTTTTGATATAGGTATTATTCAATTTACAGAGAAAATATAAATAAGCGGCATAAATTAATAAATAAAAAGTAGCAAAGTGACATTGAGGCAGAATCATCTCAATGCGTCGAGTTGTCTCGATAACCCGTGATATTTTATCACTCGAGTAACGCAAGTAAAAACAGGACTCGAGTCGCATCACTAAAGCAAAGCAAATTATTGTGGTGTTGTGTGACTGATGGAAAGACCGCAAGTCAATAAATAATTTTTTATGTTTTCGCCACAAGCAAAATCTCAAGTTGTTTTGTTGTAGACCATAGAAAACACTTAATCAAACTTCAAAATGGACCAAATGCTTCCAAGCCCATATAACATTCCTGGTATTGGAACCCCGTTACATCAACCTGAAGAAGACCAACAAATTTTACCAAATGCACTCCAACAGCAGCAACAGCAGCACCAACAACAACAATCTCATTCTCTATCTACCATGGCGTCGCCTCTCGTAGGCTTTAGTCTTGGGACTCCTCAAAGAACTATGCATACCTACGCTCCGACCGCCAGCTATGCTACTCCACAACAAATGATGCAACCTCAGACTCCAGTAAGTGAATATGAATAGTAAATGGTAGTCGTTTCCAATCATTACTAAATAAATTACTGAACTGTAAAAACAATACGTGATTAGCATCTATGAAATGTTAACTTTAAGAAAGTGCAAACATAATATATATTTTGTTTTTTTTTTCTAGCAAAACATGATGTCTCCCATGATAACAAGCAGTAGCTTAGTAGGTCAGCAGATGCTTAGCCAAGCAAGCCCAGCACCGATGACCCCCATGACACCACATTCCGCTGACCCAGGAATTTTACCACAATTACAGTTAGTATTATATTGAGAAATAAAGGTTCATTGTTTTACAGTAACTTTTTAATTTTAAATAAAATCAATTTTTTGTTTTGAATTTCAGAAATATTGTATCTACTGTTAATTTAAACTGTAAATTAGACTTGAAGAAAATTGCCTTACATGCAAGGAATGCTGAATATAACCCAAAACGTTTCGCTGCTGTCATTATGAGAATAAGAGAACCGAGGACAACGGCTCTAATATTTTCTTCAGGCAAAATGGTATGCACTGGTGCAAAAAGTGAAGAAGACTCACGGTTGGCTGCCAGAAAGTATGCTCGGATTATTCAAAAACTTGGATTTTATGTAAGTTCTTACTGTCTAATCACATTTATAGATTACATTAGACATCCTTAAACCTATTTATTAACCTGTGCGGAAAATATGAAAAATAATTATACTTTTATCAATCACTAGCTTTCTGCCAGTGGTTTCGCCTGCGTGGTCCGCTGGTACCTTATTTATAGATCTAAACTCCCCCCCCGCACGCGCACTCCCGCCTTGGTAACGTCCACTTGGCAACGTCATGGTCATGCAGCAGAAATCATAATATTTTAACTAATAACTTCAAAACCAAAAAAACCAAATGTCCAATTTTTATCATTCAAAAACCAAATATTATCTACATAAACTGTAATTGTATAATTTATTTTGATAAGGATTAATAGCATGAGTATAAAAAACGCGTTTAAATGTATTCCAAAAAAAATTCAAGATTTTTAAATAAAAAAAATGGTTGTTGTGCCTCACTCGACATAGATAGGTATAGTGTGTTGTGGACTTTTTAATAGATATTTATAAGATCTACAATTAATTAGTACATTTGTTGGTTCTACCTTTTATAGTTTAGGCAGTGCATGCAAAATAAATAACTTTTCTGGTTGATTTTTTACACCTTATGACCGAAAAACCCAAATATTTTATGGAACTAAATTTTTTTCCAAAATAAAATATAGCCTATATTACTTGTGGATAATGTAGTTTTCGAATGGTGAAAGAATTTTTTAAATCGGTCCAGTAATTTTGAGCCTATACATTACAAACAAATTTTTGCTCTTTATAATATTAGTAAAGATTAAATCAAGAAAATAAAGAAAACCTAACAGAAGAGAAGACTTAACCAAAGCAAATTTAATTATGCGGACACTATTAACAAATTTTAGTAATTAATAATCATTTGTTTGTTTACAGGCCAAATTCTTAGATTTCAAAGTACAAAATATGGTTGGTAGTTGTGATGTCAAATTTCCAATACGTTTAGAAGGTTTAGTTTTAACTCATGGGCAGTTCAGCTCTTATGAGCCAGAATTATTTCCTGGACTCATTTACAGAATGGTGAAACCGAGAATAGTATTACTAATATTTGTGTCTGGAAAAGTTGTGTTAACTGGTGCTAAAGTGAGACAAGAGATTTATGAAGCTTTTGACAATATCTACCCTATTCTTAAAAGTTTTAAGAAACAATAGTGTTTAATTTATAAAGACTCAAGTTTAAGTGTTCTAATAGTTTTAAGTTAATTTTGTAAGCAGCCAATAAAAATGTTACAGAAATCTATATTTTTTTATTAATTATTTATTTGTATTGGATATTTTTAATGTGATAAACAACACAAGTACCATATCCTCTTAGGTTTTGAAATGTGTCACAATTTTTATTTAACTTAAATGGGAACAGAGGAGAATCTAAGCTCGACCTTGCATCTACAAGTATCTCGCATCCGCCATCTCAGCGCCTTTTTGATAACCATGACGTTCGTGATAGATTGTTGAGAGTTTTACTGATGATCTATGTCTTTTGCCACTATAACAACAAGTACTAAAAAAACTATCAAATTGTTTTTGTCAAATGGTTTTTCATAGACAATGATACGGAACCCTTAGTTCTCGAGTCCGACTCGCACTTGGCTAGTTTCTGTGGGTTCATTTCATTTATGGGTCAATAATCCATGTACTGAATAAGTAAGACTGGGGAGTCGTAGCAAAAGCTCCGTTAGAGTACTATTATTTCAAATAGCAACGTGAGCATGAAAACTGGCGTAACTTATGAACGCTTCCTATTCGTTATAAATGAACATTTCTATGTCATTCTTCTTTTCTTAAAAATATTCAGATTTTGAGATTAACCAAAATAATCTCATTTTTTGAGGATATTTTATAAAAACCTGTTTTTATAGGAGTTACGAGTGGGGGCGTTTGGGGGGTAAATAAAGACTACATTGTATAATAGGGGGATAAACGAGAAAAGTAATAGACTTGGAAAGTTACTTGGCATCTGGCAGCATTATTTACCTCACCACCCAGCAGGCCTATTCACTAACTTAACTGACAAGCTAAAGTCATAATCACCGTATAAAGCAAGCAACTCTAATGGTTCAAAATCACTTGTTCGTGTTTTCTGGGTAGGTCAATATTGGCGATCTCGTCTAAACTCCATTTTGACACTTGTTCCTGCATCTTTAATGTTATTTCGTATCCGTAAGTATTGGTGACCATGAAAGTGAACTTCAATGAGTGATTTTATCTAATTGAAAAAAAAATTTTGATCATCATTATTATCCAGCCAAATAATATAGGTAAGCCCAAGTTAAATCTTGCTTAAGAAATGGTTATTTGTTGATGTTTTTCACAGAACACAGTATGTTACAGTCGGGCCACACACTAAAGGAATCTGCTGACATATAACATCGTTGCACACGGTCCCATTGTTGGAGTGACCCAAATATTACCAAAACTGCTGATGCAGCGGCACGTGGAGCAACAACGGACGTGGAGGCAATCCGAGTAATAGAGTTCACTTTTAGATCAACCATCGATCAGGGGCTCTATTTTTGAATCATTCGTCTCGCGTCGAGCGCTCGTTTTCTTCTATCACTCGCATACAACGTTCGCTAAGCGACGAGTGGTTCATACCACTCGTTGCAGTCGAGCGATTTAGAAATGGCGAATTTGTTAAGTCGAACGAAAATCAGTAGAAAACGAGCGCTCGACGCGAGACGAATGATTCAAAAATAGAGCCCCGGGTCACATAGTTAGAGTAGTTATTAAGAAATATAATGTAATTTTATTTCATTAAATTAGTATTAAGATAATTTTGGTTTTCTTTGAAATCTCCGGCTGCAGCTTCTATAATTAGTACTGTATTCTGTAAAGTTTTTGTTTAGTCAAGACGCGGTGGCGTTGCCTGAGGGGCTGCATCATTAATTTAAAACTTAATGTTTAGATTCTATTTGGATTAGTTCTCCTTGTTTTAGTACATAATAATAATGTAATAATGTATTGAGCACTTTATATGAGACTAGTGGACGCCCGCGACTTCGTCCGCGTGGAAGTCGGTATCCCGTGGGAGTGAGAAGTTTTCCCAGTAAAAAGTACCCTATGTGTTATTCTGATGTATAACCTATATTGCTGTAAAGTTTTATCCAAATCCGTCCAGTAGTTTTTTCGTGAAAGAGTAACAAACATCCATACATCCATACTTACAAACTTTCGCCTTTATAATATTAATAGGATAGGATGGCGAAAAAAAGGGAGAAAAATGTAAAGGATAGAGAAAAGATAGCTAAGGGACTAAAGTGATATTATACAAATATCTAACTAAGAATCTGTCGTCAATCTCCGCATTACTAAAAGCATATTTCTTCAATTAGTAGAAGAGTTAAGATCTCGTAAGTAATAAAGAATGCGTAGTACAACTACACACAGTGGCGTGCACACGATACATGCAAATAAGTACTGCATACTCTACAAGCGCGTGTAGTCGATCCGATCGAATGTCGGTTTTTTGGCACAAATCAAAGGAAGTTTGCGCCAGCTCTTGCGACGCGTGCACAGGTTTGCGCGTATTCAGTGTCGTTTGTGTACTGGTGGTGAGTAGATGTACGCTTGTATTGTGTAAAAACATGAGTAACTGGTCAATTGAAGATGTTTTAAATTTTCTGGAACTTTACAAGGCAGAACCATGCAAAAATATATAAAACCAAATGTTGTGGCCGATATAACTTCAATATCCATCACATCCGTTATGCTTGCCTCTTAAGAACAAACTAACTCACTCGCAAGCGTGTGAATGGCGATGTTTGATTCCCTAAATCAAGCCAAACGTTTGTAGAGGTTTGGAGTTTGCGGCAAGTGCCAAACGTGCGGTCGCGGCATAACGTTATCATAAGCGGAATATTTTTAATCTACCGCTACCTGCCGCCGCCTCCATCGATGTGGCTGTAAGCTGCACTTGTTATTGCTTATTCGGCATACAAATACGACAGGTCACAACTCGTGTTGGACGCAGAAATAATTTGTACGTGTGTGTAAAATTCATGCATGTGTTATGGTTTAAGTTAGAGAGACACTACTTATCGCAACCTAATTAAATTAAAAAGTCATCTAAAGAGTGGCGTTCGCCCAAAGGGACTATTTAATGTGGCCGGTGTATAGTTAAACCATTTTTCCCCATTTTGTTTTGATTACTTTTCTGATCGCAAGTGATTAAGTTGTAAAATCATCAGTAAATCTAATTACATAGTGATTTATTTACCATAAATTATGGGAAATTATAGCTTTGAGCTGCTTTTTCTGCTCTGTTTGAAGAAAAATTTAAAATAGTTTCAAAGGGAAAGATGCGTGTCCTGATTACATTTAACTAAAAATAAGGTTATATTATTAATTCTTTGATGAAAAGTATTATGATAATTATATTTAAATAACATTCCAAATTTACATAAAAATAATTCAATTCGCTAATCAGTTAGAAGTAAAACAGTTGTGTAATATATTTCAGAAGTAATTATTTTATTTTGCTATTTGCTATGTGTTTGCGCGCGCCTCTAATGTGGCAATCCCAGAACATATGCCGCAATTTTCTATTCGCCCATTTGAGAGTGCTGTTAGATAACTGCTTCCCGTAAGAATTATATTGTTTTTGTTTAACTTTCATTAACATACAAGGGTATGTGGATCAAATACAAGGAAATACAAGAAAGTATTTTTTTCCTTAAAAACTCACCTTAAAGTATTAAATTTCTTACAAACTCATCTTTCTTCTATGATATAAAAGCTCAACATTTCTTATACTTAAGAAATAAATAAAAATACCACACTTCTCAAAGTACTTACCGTAAAATACACTATCTATTTAGAGTCACTTAGGAATTTTATATTACAATAGTATAGTTGCTTGCTAAGCATATTTGTATTGTAGTCGCATTTTACCTCTTTAGCTACTATAGTTATACTTCAAAGTGAACTCTGTTATCGATAGCCATCGAACTATATTTTGTCTAAAACGAATTACAGATTACTAAAACCGCGCGAGCACTAGTTGCCCACAAAGCTAAGTGAAAGATTTATTTCGGTTGTACTCAGAATAAGGAGTTACAGAATAAGGGTCATGGATAATATTGTCCCTACGATTTTAATACTGGAAATGTGAGCTACACAAACATCCGTTAAAGTTTAATGACGCCTTTAAGCACTAATACTAAATTCTATGAAAATCTTTATTTAAACGTTTTTTCTCTGCCTTAGTGATGCGACACGAATAGCATTTTGTGACTGAAGAGATTCGAGTGAGAATTCTTTTGGCAATAATAAACAATTACCTATATTAAAATGGTATCATTTTGTTAAATGGAGTAATATAAAATAAAATATACATTACGATTTTTTTTGATATTATTTATTTAAGTAATCATAGAGATGCGCTGAATGTTCGTTTGTTATTCAGTATTCGACGTATCCGACAACCATTTCACTATTTGTATTCCACCGAACTATTCGATTTTAGAGCCGAATATATTCTGTTCGGGTATTTATATTGTCTTGGCTACATAACATGGCGTAGACATAAGTCCTTTTTAAAGATTAATGTTATTTTAAAAGTCAAAGAAATGCTATGAAATCAGATATACATCAGGTTGGGAAAAAGTCTTTTCGCATATAGTATGTAGTAGCCGCACCTTACACAAAAGAAAAACGATTGGTGGCTTTCTACTACAACTGGATCAGACCTGGATAGGTCTGCCGATGGGAATCGATGTTCAGATACGGTTGAAAAATACGTAAAAACAAATTATAATGCACCCACGTACCTTGAGAAGATCGATCACGAATTCCACCTCGATCGGGCACCGGCTGGTTCCTTTACTGTCCAGTATATCCGAAATATGGAGTTAAAGCAGTTTTTACATCACATCAAACAGGAAACAGAAGCAGACACACGCTTAAAAGATTTAGTCGTCCAGATGAGTATTAGGGCGCTTGTGCACTACACTGAATTTTTTTCGGTCCGGAATGACATGAAAAACTCGGATGAGTAGCTTGTGCACTTGTCCGTTTTTTTCCTGATCGGAGCGGCGCAGTGTAGTGCAGCTCTCTTTGAAGCTACACGTCACTTGCGCTAGGTACGAGGAGATTTTTGGAACGTCGGTAATTCCGTTCGAAGACATAGAAAGGTACCTAAATAATGATCTGATCGTATTACATAAACCATAATAAATTATGGCAAGGCAAAAGCATTTTTTTTTTACTGCTATCGGATGACTACTATCAGATGTAAAAACTTATACCCTTACTTATTTAGGAACAGCATTATTCACATAAAATAGCTAAAAATATCTGTGACATTAGAATAAAATTACTGATAATGGCGTAGTACTTGATGTTTAAA